TGCTATCAAAATAAAGTTTGAATGTTTACCTACAAGTTTTTGGGGGGTTATTTTTCTTTTTTAAAATATACTTTGTGTTGATAAATCTGATATTATGCTGGACTACAGAATGGATGGCCTGGTTTGAATCCCTGATATTGTGTTTTTGAATTTGGGTCGTTTTGTGTAGATTTCAAGACTCTCTTTCAAACCATTGGGCTGGAACCTGTGGGAGACAGACATTTAACACGGAGGTCCTGCCTCTTGAGAAAGCTAATATTGTGCAGATTGAACAAGTCATTGTCACCATCTATGTAATTTTGTCTTATGTTTGCAGGTGGTTGGGGGTGCTCTGGTATGGTTTGCTCCTTCTTTTCTATCGAACGTCTATGGTCCTGATCTCTCCTCCTTTTTTGTGTTTGTAACTCTCTTTTAACAGTTCTAATCTTCGGCACTTATATGTTTCTTATATTGTGTGGCAAGTGTTGTGAAACTCCTACTAATATTAAAACTGTGGGTGGTTGGGTGGTGCTCTGGTGTGGTTTGCCCTTCTTTCCTATCAAACATCTGTCGTCCTTTTCTCCCCTCCTTCTTTTTTGTGTTTGTTACTCGCTTGTAGCACCTCTATTCTTTGGCACTTGCATGACCTTATTGTGTTGCAAGTGTCGTAAAACTCTTACCAAAACTAAAGCTGTGTGTGTTTTCATCCCCCCTTTGTTCCAGCTGGTGGCCGCGGACAACAGCGCCTCGGACAGTCAGTCGGTCACCGACTCACAGACCGGGGATGTGGTACAGTTGCCCACGGAGAGGGTGGCCGGCATCGGTGACAGCCGGCCTCCGTCTTTTCAGTAAGTTACCTCCACTCTGTTGTCTCACATTGCAGGGTAGTTCTATCAAACATCTGTCGTCCTGATCTCTTCTCCTTTTTTGTGTATGTTACTCTCTTGTAACACATCAATTCTTGGACACTTGTATGTGACCTTATTACGTTGCATGTGCCGTAAAACTCTTACGAAAACTAAAAACATTACTAAAAGGTGTTCGCCTCTCATTCAGTAGGTCCCATGTTCAAATCTGGATAACGACGGAAAATTTTTTTCTCTAAGATTTTTCTCTTTTCACACCCTTTCCTGCTCTCTATCACTGTTCAAGGGCTCTTGTGGTCGAGAGGTTATGGTTTTTGTCTCTCTTTCAGCAAGTCCCAGGTTCGAATCCGGATAGCAACAGAAAATGTTCTTCTCCTTTAACACCATTTCTTGCTGTCTAACCCTGTTTTGTCGTCTACTTTTGTCTCCACTTTCTCTGGGCTCTTGACTCTTTCTACAGCCTTTCTACTACTACTCCTTTGCTCCTTCTTACTGCTGTCTTTCAGACACACCCCTGATCTTTTGGTAGGTAAGATCTAACACCTAGCCTTTTCGGGTAGGAGAGAAAAATCTTCGAGGTCACGGATGCAAGTTGTGCTTGTTAAAGATCCCTTGGTGGACTAAAATTTACTTTTAAAAAGATAATTTTGAAAAAATGAAATTAGGGACATGCACTGCTTGTCGTTGTTCCTAGATCTATTTGTTCTAACTTTTCAAAGGACTGGCCCCTTTACTTCTGGCGTAAGATGGAGTTTTGAGTGACACACCCTTTTTCCCTAAACTGTTACATTATCATGCATTTTCATTGCACACCTTCCAAAACTACACGCTTCTTCCTCTTTTATGTTTGTGTAATGAGAAGAGTTTTTACCGCACAGAATAGATTTTGACATCAAGGTTGGTAATTTTATTTTCCCATGCATGTACATACACACACACACACACACAC